CATCATCGTACTGCTCGCCCTCTAACGTGTAGTGGATTCCTACTACACGTTTCTCAACGGTTATCGATGCGCCTGTTGCAAGGCGCACCGTCATCCTTGTGAGGGGAATGTCGCGCTCAACGAACTTGAGCCTACGACCCTCTAGTGACTGGCGACGAACAAAGTTGTTCGACGCCCCACAGTCTACTAGGGCACGAAGCGACAAGTCATTTGTCGCTTCCAACTTCAAGGTGATGAGCGAAACGTCATCACCAGGTGCAGAGACACACAATGATTGTGTATCTGGAGCAACTTTCGTCAAGAGGTTTGCAAATTCTCTTGAGGTTGCTGGATCAGTAGGGCGCTCCGCCCCTACTGACCCCGACCATTTTTTGATGGCCCGTCTCGCTGTTGCGGCTTCGCAACAGCGCTGGACCCACGCCCATTGCCCTTTCTGGCGAATGGTCGTCCATTTCGCTCAGTACTGTTTGGTACTGGGCGCGGAGCACTACACTCGTATGCGTAGTGCCCTAACTTCTGACAGCGATTGCACCTCTGCAATCGCTTGTTGCTTGTAGAGCGAGGTCTCTCGCTCTCAACATAACAGAGGTCCATTGGTTCTGGACCTCCGATCTCTTGTCGTCTCGGTGGACGGTAAGAGTTTGAGCTAGCATGAGCCTGTCTCATGCTAAAGTCTTCCTGTTCCGCGGCTGATATCGCTTCTTCAAGCGTATTCAGCTCAAGGCGGAATAGGTGGCTCCTGACGGGCCCTTCTGCGAGCCCTTGCATGAACACCGTAATCAACGTGTGTTCATGAACTGGGTTTGCAGTTATACTACTCGCAAGGAGTCGTATATGTTGTGCGTAAGCGTGCACATCACGCTTACCCTGCTTGAGTTTCAGGAGCTCTGAACGAGCCCTGAACTCAGCACGTGGCGGCTCAAACGTTTGTCTGAGCCGGGACTTGAAGTCATCTAGCGACCTAAACACATTTGGGTCGCTACTCTCGAGTCCCAGGGACCAAGTTTTGGCACGCCCTGCCAAGTGGGTCTGAGCAAATGTGAGTTTCATTTGCTCATCTTCGACGCGACGAGCCCTTAGGGCTCTGTCGAGTTCGACAAACCATAGTAACAGGGAGTCCTCCGGGACTCCACTGTACTTGGAAATGTCGACTTTCATCACTTCGGGACGGCGCGCATGCGCCGTCCCGCCCACAGCAGCATGTAATTGCTGCTGTCTCAACAGCTCCGTCTGTTGAGCACCGAGTTCTCTCAACTGCTCGGCCTGTTGAGAGCCTTGCTGGTGAAGCAAGGCTACTTTCTCCCTCTCGAGAGCAAGTTCATTCTGAATGAACTTGGCGATAGCGGCATGTTGTTGGTCTCTGTCTAGAGACTCCAACATGGTGCTGACGACGAGTTCGCCTACGGTAGAACTCATTCGTTCTACCGCACCCCATTCGATGTCACTCAAATGGGTAAACCCTTCACGCGTGGCGTGAAAGGTGTCTTCTTCATCCAACATGTTCATGTTGGATGATGTGGTCCTTGGAAGGACTACTAAGTGCTACCAGGTGTAACGGGGCACACCCTTGCGTAACTTAACGCAAGGGATTTGGGTGCCCCGACGGACGTACACGTGGCGAGCGAGGAAGCGTAGGTAGGGTAAAAGTAGAACTGTTATATTAATAAATTAAGTCTTTAAACTACTGTCTCTTCGTTTGACTTAATTCAATTATACTAATATAACTGCATGTATGGTGACGTCTCGTCACCACTCATTGCGCGCGTCTTGCGGCGATTGGTGGGTTGATATCATCACGATATCAACCAATGAACATACCCTTTGGTCGACCCTTCAATATCACCACTTTGGTGATATTGTTTAAAGAATATCCATCTTATATTCTTTATTGTCACTTTCCTTAAGTGACAATATCATGCAACGGGCTGCCCCGTTACACAGCTTCTTCCGACTCCTTGGTCACACAAGACTGCTCTGTGCCGACTCGATAATGCGAATCGTGCCATCATCATGAGCAGCGATGAACGTCTATTTCGACAAGATGGAACTTGGCATTGTCATGCAATCGCGCTCAGGCTCTACCGTCGATAACATCACATTCAATACCTGATCAACGGCGGCTTGACAAGCCTTCGTAAGTCCATGACTCGCTGCATCTGCCGATAGTCTGCAGCAGACAGTGCAAGGTCGAAGCAGATGTAGTCGGCTCACGAAAAGATGAGTAGGCCACAAAGAGGACATCGTCGTGGCTTACTGAAAGTCACCATCCTGACGGTTGTGGCCACTCTATGAGACATAGGCTGGTACGACGCTTCTGTTGACGTAAAAAGTAATTTTGATCTCAAATACGAAGAAGGTATTACGGCTATCATTGCGCTTGGCGCTTATATGCTGTGGACGCATCAATGACAGGCTCGGACAACCTATTGGAACGTCTTACGGCTCACATTACGCGTGGCACTGCTATTCCAACGACGCCAGCTCCTGTGTATGGCGAACGACTTTCGTACACATTCTACAAGCTTATGCCATACAGAAATTCAGTCGAATTCGACAAACAATAACAGGAGGATAATCGACGGATCCATTTTACTGGGTGGGCACTCGTCGACGCCGCAACTTCTTTGTCCTACTAAATATGAAAGTACAGGAAGAACTGGACTTGGGACGCGTACGTGCAGTGGAAGCAAAAGGTTGCTACGAGACACTAAGATTGTATGCTATGTGGAGAACACGACTGGAGCGAGGTGAACCCGTACTTGCCCTTAACATCAGCTCATGACAATGCAACTACTATCTTCGCGTAATTATTTCATGTATTTAGTTACTTTGGCCAATTCGTTGATTGATACCAAGGTATCAGCCAACAAAGCGTCCAATGAAGGATGGTGCGTGCAATGGTAGGTGAGCAAATAGTATCAGCTCATGTTTTTGTATACAGACATAATCGATGAAGTCTTTACCCGAAATATTGTCATGATTGCATATGTACACTTCTCCTTTACTCGATACTAACGTGATCGTTATTCTATCATCTATCTTTGTCTCTCATGAACATGAGGTTTCAATGCACCTGCCTACAACGTTATAAGTACAGGTTGTCGAGTACTGCATGCACATGATGTGCGGGTACCGCATTACAGCGAAGGAGAGGCATCAACTCTGCCGTGATATTCTCTGAAATCGTCGAGTCGAGAAATAAAAGCCGGGATATATTCCAAATGATCATCTTTCTTTTCATGCATGCATTGACAAAACCAAAGCGGTGATATCGTCGACTTGCAGGAATCTTGTCTATTGAAAGCGCGACGCTCAAAGTTACTGAGACCTCCTATATTGACGAAACAGAGTGTGAATTTCTAGACTAGGTCGATGTAATGGGGTCTACTTCTCACTTGGTAACTGGTAAGCCCTTGTAGTGTAATAGCACAAGGGTGTGTGATCTCAAAACTACACGTACATCATACGTGCAGAGTAAGTGAACGTTTCGAACAAGAGTTACCTAGAAAGAAAGAAAAGTGATTCTGTATATTGTATACAGTTATGCCTCTTTAGTAAACCTTCTTTACCTTACTCACACCAGATCACTACAAACTTCCAGTGCAGAATCGTATTGACCGCCTATTGCGCGCTTCTAGCAGCGTTTAGTGGTTTATTCGGTCATTTGGATGGCTTTTATCGACCAATTGTGAAGCACTGCCGACTGTCACCTCTTAAGGATATATTCCTGCAATATTGACCTGCAAGAGTAATATTGTAAACTATTTGTAATCGAGATATTATTTACATTGACACAATGGTGCTAATGACATGTAACACGCTCACACCGTTCCACTTGGCATTATGTAGCAGCAATCGATCTACGAACGAAGTCACATCATTTTCATTTCACTGCACGCAAAAAGGTCGATGTCATGCAATACAAGGATTCCATACTTCGTTGTACAATACTTGTGGCGTGGGTCACACATGTGAGACGAAGGCAGCCATCGCGACGAACGTATCACTTTGGCTCGGGCAAATATCTGCAAACGTTGTTACTCGACATAATGCGCTCTCTTGACACGTCACTGCTAAAAATGCTGGAGCAGAGCCAACGTCATGAGACACACAAACAGTTAATACGCAACATTGCAGCTCGCTAATTGTCGTTTTGTTCGAGCACACTTATCACAACATAAAATTACCTCTCGGCCGCTTAACAAGACGTATCTCAACATCGACGTACAAGCAATTGGTGCTAGAACACACGTTTGTTTCGCCCATTACCCTCTTCGACAATCGGATGTCCTGTAGCCCGAATGACGCTATACTGGTGCCCTACAAGCTTCTTCTTGGCCACATCAGTCCCGTTCGAGAAGTGACCATTCGACCGCACGACAGGCTCTCTGACTTGTCGATGCGTCTCTATATAAGAACGATAGTACAAGCGTCAGACTCCACATGCTTCTTAGTTGGCTACCACTGCGACAGAGGCACAAAAAAAGACATCACTGTCTTTACGCTCGTTTTGTCACACCTCATCCGATTATCGTGCTTAAAAACGACATCGGTGTGACCATAGATCGTTTCGTCGCACCTTCCAGCTCTTATCGCAAGTACATTGGTCACGTTCGACCATTACCAGAGCAAAGACGACCGGTACAACACGAGCCCTCTGCACGGTTATGTCACGCTCAACTTTTCACAGCCTCTGCTCAACTCGCTGGCGTGGTGGTGGTGTGCCTGTAGGAGTCCGGTCGATTGTATGGTAGACTGCCTTTTGCTTTGCTACGACGTATGTGACTGTTACGTTACAACACTAGAACCATCTGCTTGCCCTTTCCAAGTAAAAGCCCGTGTGTCTATGCGTACGACGTTCATATGCTATCGATTTCCCTTGACTCCGTTTCCAATAGGAACGATTGTCAATCGAGGATCACTTGTCGACTGTCCAGCCAAGAGTTACGACTCCAGCACACTGCAAGAATCGATTGACACGACTCACCAGTCGTACAACCATGCGTTTGACACCGCACGGGGAGGATTTCCAAAACTATTACTCGCCATCGTTTCCCAACTACAATAACGATGCGGAACTGCCGCCCCACGCAACGAGAGGGTTTGAGAGTCTAGCGCCGGCGGAAATCGGCGCAGGTCGATCGGTGCACGATGTTGACCTCTACGGTAGTCTCCGCAAAGGAGACCCCGTCAAGTTCTTCTCGAAGGACTGTGCCGGCGTCGTCGCGGCCACATTTGCGTCGGCATTTTCGGCTGATTGTCTCAATAACGTGATCGATCCGATGTTGAGCAAGCATTTTTTCTTCAGCGTAAACGAGTTGGAAGCTTCGCGGCGTCTGATTGCGATGCCTTCAGCTTCCTGCTTCTTTTTCGGGCTGCTATCGGACTGCTACCCGATCATGGGGTTTCGACGCAAAGCGTACTTGATCGTCAGCCTGGTGTTAACAGTGTTCAGCTACCTCATTCTCTCAGCATTGAACATGTATGGCGAAAGCCTCGAGAAAGGTACTGCAAGCACCGGACTAGCAGGCGGTATGATTCTGTTCTCATCACTGGCTGGTATTGGAAACATGGTCACGTTCATGTGTGTTCACACTCGAGTGATCGAGCTGGCTCAACGTGAACCGCTAGTTATGCGCGGCGCTATCGTCGCGACATATTCGATCTTTCGATTCGCGGTCTCCGCTGCCACGAGCGCTTTTGCATATGTTGTTCGGAGCAACGTGACGTATCACAGCACGGAGTTGATTGGGTTTGGCCTCGTCATCGCTCTCACAATCCCGCTTGTGTGGAAAGCTTGGCTGGAGAAGTATTACTCACTCTCGACTTCGATGAAGATTCGCGGCCAGATTCTATGGAGAGTCATGCAGCAGAAAGCAGTGTGGAGCATTCTTCTGTTCTTGTGCATCTCCACCTTATTCAGCAGCATCAAGTTTAGGGATCACGAGCTGATTGTTAGCTATTGGGCGGGTGCTAGCAGTGACAACATATATTTACTGCAGACCTTGAGTTACGCCGCGATGATATTGATGATCATAGTGTGGCGCTACTTCTGCATGAATCGACCATGGCGTGCGCTCTTTGCGATGTCCACCGTGCTGCTGGTCGTATCTAAAGGCATCCAGGCTACGTGCGTTACTCTGGACATTTTTCGGAACCGATACTTCTACCGCGCGATGAACCTATTCCCAAGTATGGCAGTCGGCATCTCTTGGCTATCAAGCATCGTGCCGCTCACGGAGATCACCCAAGAAGGCTCTGAAGGTGCCATGGTTGGACTCATGACGTCGCTGTACTATTCGGTCATCATCTTCGTTCAGACAAACACGACGGGACTGTTTAAAGGCGCAAACTTCTACGAAAACAATGAAGCTGGATCGGACTCCCCGGAAGCGCGTTTGATTGTGCTGAAGACAATCTTTATATGCTATGGCATCAATGCCTTGGCACTCATTGGCATCTTTTTCCTACCGCGACAGAAGCTTGACACCCAGCAGATTCGAAGTTACGGCGGATATACCAAGTGCGCGAGTGCTGCTATCCTCGCGTTCGTTGTGGTGCTCTTTTCGTACTCGCTGGTTGTCACGATACTCACGTTGGTGCCATCGACGTCTTGCTTAGGCATTGCTGGTGGCGAAGGCTGCTAGACTCCATTGACAGCCCCTTGTCCTCCGCCGTCTTCATACATGATGCATTTGTTCAAGCTCTGCTTGCTGACTTACCAGTTCGTGGCATCCATTCTGACACATCAGATAGAGGCATATCAGTATCTCAGCGTAAACAAATATGCTACTGATTGATCAGCTTTTCTTGAACACGATACATATTGTCTTCGCTATGACGTTGACGATGGCCGTTCGTATAGTTCTCCGACGTGTGCTAATGAGAAGATCGGTGACCCGCACGAATTTGCTCACCCATCACAAACGTAAAAGCAGGCCAAACATGTCGCGTAGCTTCCAATGTAATATGTTAGTCCGTTTTCCTTGTATGTTGGTAGCGCAGCAGAAAAGACGTACCATGTTCATGCGCCGATGCATCTCATACATCATGTCGTTCGAGCACAAGCATGTTTGATACAGTAACACTTCTCTCGTTTATTACTTTTTTACAATCATGACTCTCTGATTCATTATCCATCCTTGTATTTGACGTCGGGCCCACACCTTACTTTAAAAACCTCTTCAACTTATTTATAAAATGCAATCGATGGCCCCTTTCAATATTTTGATATGCCTTGACAGGGAGGCACTTTTTGCAGGATATAATGATAGGAAGAGCTACCTAAATTCGCCTAAAGAAGTCCTTTACCTTAGGCTGTACCAGTTGTTGTTCAGATTGCCTCCATTTATCCTTCATTCGCTGTAGTGACTCGATAACCTCCAGCGCACCGCCCACCTGTTGCAGCCACCATATTTCGATTAACTCGAATACTTCTGAGCATCCACGACAGCGATCATCGATAATGTCTGGCTCTCATCCTGTGATTCGACAGACTGATTTCGAAGGCGGATTTCGATGATGTCATTCACATCCCAACTGTACGACTGATCGACTCATCTGGATAGTGTAGCATGTTGCAGATGTATATGGGGTTGTTGGGGGTACCTGACATATATCGTCCAATCTGGCGTTTCGCTTTTTTCAGGATTGCATTTTTATACAACTACTCCTCAACATATGTGTAAAGCACCAGATGACTCTAAACAAACTTAAGGTCGCGGAGAAAATTTTCGACGGTATTAATGCGAACATCCCATTTCTACGTACCGATATAGAGAACTAGATGATATGAAGGATGATAATCCTTGCCGGCTGAACGACACTACTAAATATCGTGGAAAAAACTCGGCCGAAGCTGCGACTGTAACGTGGTGAGCCCGTTACATAAAAATTGGTACGAAAGTACCAAGTTTGAATTTTTTTCTGATAATATTCAATCAATATCACTCGAGAAAAGCGATGTTGTCGGGATATTACCTCTAAGGGTAATATCCGTGTAGGAGTCCACTTCTTGGTTGATGTACACGGTACATCAACCAATGTAACCACCAATCGCTGCTAGACGCGCGCAATGGGGGTGGACATAAGATCGACATAGGAGACAGTAGTTTAATGTAGTTAGATTAAGACGAAAGATGATTTAGTAAGAAACATAACTATATTAAATAACAGTTCTACTTTTCCCTCAAGACAAAGCTTTCGGGTTATGAATTGTCTTATTCGCGCTTCCTCACGCCACGTGTACGTGACATCGGGCGTACGCACCCTTGTATTGTTATCAATACAGAGCCTTGCTTAGTTATCTGAGCAAGAGCGTGCCCCGTTACAATCGGACACCGCGTAAAGATGCGCTGCAACATCCGCGGATATTTGGCGGGGTGCACATAAAGTCGTCGTATTTGTGACGGGATCGCAACAAATGGCTTGGCTCGGGTGGTGTTGTGCCGTGGCGCACTACTTGCGCCCAATAATTCAAAAAGGAGCATTGACCTACATGTGCTGAATGGACAGCTTCCAAACGATCTTCGTGAACGCCCACTGAGTCGATAAAAGCTCAGTTATGCTGACTGGACAGCTTCCAAACGATCTCTGTAAACGCCCACTGAGTCGATAAATTCTCATTGCTTATTTTCTAGCGAGTCCTTGCCAGTCTTGGAAAGTACAGGTGCTCGCTACACACAATTGCTTAAAAGCCGAAGCAGACTTGACGCCTCGACAGTCTGAAGCTTTGGGAAACATTGTTCTAGGCTAAAAGCGCTGCTTCATCAAGAGGTATTTTTGCATACGCTACTGGAGAGAGCTCTCGAATGGTTGATAGCCACGGTTTCATCTGGTAAGTACCGGAGTAAAGCTTCATCTTTGCTATCAATACCAGAAACATGTCAGCTGGGACGACCTGCTGAAGTTCTCGTACCGGCGCCTCCTCGGCCACCCGGATACTTTTAAAGGCAGCTGGTCGCGCCTCCTGAGTTGTCGCTTCCTCTGTGTTGTCACAGGTGGGCGTAGAGGAGGAATCACGTAGTTAATCTGTGCTAGCCTTAGCCGTAGACACCGGCCCAGACTGGCCGTTCGACTCCTGTTCGGCTGCTTGGGACGCAATCGGAGGAGTTTTGTTGCGCATTTTTTCCTTCGTCGGAAATAAATCTACACGGAGCGATGGGGGATAAGAATCTCAAGTTGAAGTGGACACGCCTACCTTTATCCCCCCTTGGGAGAAGGGACGGGGTGGAGGCATGTCACCCGTCATGCAACGATGATTATAGCCGTAGATATGTCCTGCGTCAGCTCCTATGATAAAGAAACACGGCGATTACTGGATCTCGCCAAAATTTGAAGAATAATTTACAAAGAGAACATCATCGTGGCTTACTGAAAGTCATCATCCTGACGGTGGTGGCCACTCTATGAGACATAGGCTGGTACGACGCTTCTGTTGACGTAAAAAGTAATTTTGATCTTAAATACGAAGAAGGTATTACGGCTATCATTCCGCTTGGTGCTTATATGCTGTGGATGCATCAATGACAGGCTCGGGCAACCTATTGGAACGTCTTACGGCTCACATTACGCGTGGCACTGCTATTCCAACGACGCCAGCTCTTGTGTATGGCGAACGACTTTCGTACGCATTCTACAAGCTCATGCCATACAGAAAGTCAGTCGAATTCGACAAACAATAACAGGAGGATAATCGACGGATCCATTTTACTGGATGTGCACTCGTCGACGCCGCAACTTCTTTGTCCTACTATATATGAAAGTACAGGGAGAACTTGACGTGGGACGCGTACTTGCAGTGGAAGCAAAAGGTTGCTACGAGACACTAAGATTGTATGCTTTGTGAAGAACGCGACTGGAGCGAGGTGAACCCGTACTTGCCCTTAACATCAGCTCATGACAATGCAACTACTATCTTCGCGTAATTATTTCATGTATTTAGTTACTTTGGCCAATTCGTTGATTGATACCAAGGTATCAGCCAACAAAGCGTCCAATGAAGGATGGTGCGTGCAATGGTAGGTGAGCAAATAGTATCAGCTCATGTTTTTGTATACAGACATAATCGATGAAGTCTTTACCCGAAATATTGTCATGATTGCATATGTACACTTCTCCTTTACTCGATACTAACGTGATCGTTATTCTATCATCTATCTTTGTCTCTCATGAACATGAGGTTTCATGCACCTGCCTACAACGTTATAAGTACAGGTTGTCGAGTACTGTATGCACATGATGTGCGGGTACCGCATTACAGCGAAGGAGAGGCATCAACTCTGCCGTGATATTCTCCGAATTCGTCGAGTCGAGAAATGAAAGCCGGGATGTATTCCAAATGGTCATCTTTCTTTTCATGTATGTATTGACAAAACCAAAGCGGTGGTATCGTCGACTTGCAGGAATCTTGTCTATTGAAAGCGCAACGGTCAAAGTTACTGAGACCTCCTATATTGACGAAACAGGGAGTCAATATTTGGACTTGAGTGACGCGAAAAAATTCAATAAAATTTTGCTTTAAAATTAGGATGCTTAATAACAAGTATTTTTATGCAAAGTATGCACTGCAAATTTTCTAGTCCACATCGGAAACTAAAGTTGTGTATCGTGACTTCATTTGGTAAGCATGAAAGTATGGTATGTGTATAATATATTTGGTATTGGGTCAAATAATGATTAGTGTGGGCACAAACACCGACCGCAGACCTGCTATGAAGGTTGTGAGGGCAAAAAGCTGAATTATCGCAACCGATGTAATAATAAAATAACGGGGTGTTTGAAATCTACATGATCAGATATGTTCCCTTCTGCTTGCTGTTATTACAAGTCTGCGGTATGTTAGAGACGGGCAAAACAAGATTATAGAGTTAGCGATGAGTGAAATGAGAGGATGTCGAGAAATCCGAAAATCTGGATATGCGGCATAACCAATGTCATCAACGTTCAGCGATAATGCTAATATAAGTCAATTGTACTGACGGTAAAGCAATCGACACTAACGATAGCGTAGACAAATTTCCAAACATCATGTACACTATTCAGTGTAGAGGAAACAAAAATTACTAGACGATTCTGCTTCGTTGACATTATCAATAGAGGTCTATCGAATATACAAGCCTCGTTTGATGGGAACCGATCTCGCGAAAATTAATGAAACCATACTATGGTACGTATATGGATGTTGATATCTTGCTCACTACCCATTGCTCGTGTCGTACAAATTGATTTTCTCATGGGAAGTAGTCTGGTTTATATTAGACTACAGTAGTATGCCCTCGACAGCAAATGCATATTTTCAGATGAATACTGCGAGATATGGCACACAAAGGAAATGTGCACACTCGCATGTCCCCAGTATACACGCAATAACGCCATTTCAATTACCAGACAGAGCACACTGCAGTACGTCGCTACATTTGCCCATGATAATTGTTCAGTGTACCATAATCAAGTACTAAGTCACTAGTCCGCTCACTGACGAGAAGTAATACTCTTGACATACCTGCAAACCTATCGCATCATGGTGGTATGGCTGTTCACTCAATGGAAGCGTGAAATATTGGCACAATGCACAAATTGACTCCATCGCTTACCTCCGCTATTGAACAACACTATGAAATGACTCCGGATGCATGGATGAAGTACT